ACATACATACATACATACATACATACATACATACATACATACATACATACATCATCATGTATCATCCATTTTATCTGCATATCTCTGGTACGGGTCGGTCTACGTTCCCACCCTCAGCTTCGGTCTCTGGGCAGAGACTGAAAGAACGAGATCGTGGAAACAAACGGTCCAAATGAGTTGTTCCTCAGGACTGAACTCAGTTTCTGTTTGAGTCACAGATCAGAGCCGTAGAGCAACAACAGATTTCAGACCAGTTCCAGATGTTTACTAAAGACTGAAGCTGCTCAGACGAGGATTTTGTTTTTCGCAGGTGCGTATCATCGTGTCGGTGTTGTACTCTGCGCTGACTCCGTTCCTGAACCCCATGATCTACAGTCTGAGGAACAGGGAGCTGCGTGAAGCCATCAGGAGAACTCTGAGGAGGATCAGACCTTCAGCTGCGTCTGCTCCAAAAGACATCAACCCCCAGATCTGACCAAGGTTCATAAAACACAGTCCAGTTCAGATCCAACGTTCCCAAAAACATTGCAAAGTGGGACAACGTGAGCGTGCAGCCTGAGGTGTAGGAATGGATAAAATGTTGAAAAGTTCAAACATGAAAGTTCTGTCTCACCTGAAATAAAAGCCCAATTAAACACCGTGTCTTGATTGGTCTACGCAGACCGGACCAGCTCAGATGAAACGTGAACTTGCTGTGATGGAGTGGTGGAGCCAGACGATGATTGGGTCGTCAGTGCAGCCACAGCGGCGCTGCCAGGCCGTCATTACCTGAGCTCAACAGAAAGACCTGCTCTGCTCCTGGAGCCTGGAACACCTCGCAACAAGATCTCAAGCTCTCCACTTTCATGTCTTTGATGGGTTTTAAACATTTGATAAGGTCACTAGAAACATCCAACAAACATGTTCTTGTTTTTAGTGTTGTACCTTGTTTTACCTGGCATCTTGAGTTGACTGCTTTTATAACTACTTTCATTTATAATTCATAAATTTATATTTATAGTAACTTCTGCATGGATAATATAATCTCCACAAAAACAGTTTGCTGCTTTCCCAACAAGCAACAGCAAGGACATCAAGACAGCCCTGAACAGGAAGAAGGAGGGGGGACAGGGAGGAGGTGAGGGACAAGGTGAGGGAGGGTAAGGAGCAGTGCAGGAGAAGCTGGAGAGAAACAACTCCAGGGAGTTCTGGAACAGGAAGAGAAGCATCACTGGTCAGAAAAAGACTGCAGCAGTGATGGGAGGTTCTTCAACAGGTTTGACGTGAACCCTGCACACCCGTCACCCACACCTCCTCCAACACCTACCAGGTGGTCACCACACCTCCTAGACAACCCCACCCCTCCTCATCATCAACATAATGGACCCCAGCTGCACCCCCTTCACCATCACTGTCTTCTGAAAACACATCAGAGCCTCCAATCACCATCAGCAGGAGGCTGTGAGGATGGAGCTCAGTCATCTACATCCAGGCAAGTCTGCAGGTCCAGATGGATTAAGGGTGTTTTTACACCTGACAGTCCGGTAGACTCGGTTCAACTGGGAACCAGTATTCAGAACATTTTTTTACATTTTCAGCTGGTGTGGTTCTCGTTCACATTGCACTGAGCCAGTCCACCTGTGACCCAGTCGACCTGGGAGTGGACCTGCAGTCTCTGACAGGTGTCTGAGCAGAAGATGTTGAGGAACCTGCTCCAGATCCTGAACAACACGTCCCCCCCCCCCCCCCCCCCCCCGCATGAGACCCTGGACTCTGCACCTTCAGTCGTAGACTGAGACCACCTCCACAGAACAACAGGAAGTCCTTCAAACTGTTCAACTCCTCCCCCTTTAGGACAATAAACACTTTAATGTTTCTGTCTGCACCTGTTTACAACGTAATTGTTGTTATTTTTAATATCTTGTGTATGTTCCTTCGATGAAACTCTGGCACAACAATTTCTTGCTGGATCAATAAAATTCTATCTTGTTTGATTTAATTGCCTTTTGTTGAATTATTTTTGTCTGCTTGAATCAGGTGTCTCTTGTAAATGAGTCCTCGTGACTCGATGAGACTAACCTGCAGAACTAAAGGTTGAATGAACAGAACCATCGGATCAGAACAGAACCATCGGATCAGAACAGAACCATCGGATCAGAACAGAACCATCGGATCAGAACAGAACCATCGGATCAGAGCTTCAGCAGCTGCAGGTGAAGGTAGCGTTAGTGAGGAAGACGATGTAAATCAAAGAGTTTAGAAAACATCAGTCTTTATTAGTGAGGAACAGAGGCTGGCTTCTTCGTAGGCTCCTGGTTCATTCTCCGTCGTGAACTCCGTCCTGTTGTTGATGAAGAGAGCCTGAAGGCAGCTTGTTGGGGTGGGGGGACGTGTCCGTGTTATGATGCTGCAGGTTCTGCTGGGCTCAGTGGATCTGCACCAAACAGGATCACAGTTCTACAAGACTCTTCAAGAACGACTGAGCTCAGTGATCAACGACAGAAACTTCATTTAGTCCTGTCTGTCTGTCACAGGCTTCCTGGTGAACACGATGGAGATCTTTTCTCGAACAGCTTTGATTTGCAGTCCGTAGACGATGGCGTTCATCGCAGGAGGAACCACGTGGAACAGGATGGAGGCCAACTTCCTGTGGTCCGACAGGTCGGGGAAGCGATGGAGGAAGATGATGATGCTGCCTGACACGAACATGATGACGTACAGGACCAGGTGGGTGGCGCAGGTCTGCAGGGCCCGGCTGTTCTTGGACCTGCTTTGGTTGGTGAGGCAGGCCACGGCGATCCGCAGGTAGGTGACCGTGATGCTGCCCAGAGAGGTGCCCAGAAGGACCACGGTGTACACGAGGCCGTACACGTTGTTGATCAGGACGTTCTCGCAGGACAGCTTGTACAGGGACGCGTTGTCACAGAACGGGTTGGACACGAACTCCCTGCAGCGAGACAGGCGGACGCTGAGGCCCAGCAGCAGCAGAACCATGAGCAGGACCACCCCCCAGGCTGACACGGACAGACCCACCACCATCCTGTTGGTCATGATGGTCTGGTACCGCAGCGGATTGCAGACGGCCACGTAGCGGTCGAAGGCCATGATTATCAGCACGGTGTGGGCGGCGCTGGCGTGCACGTGAGCACAGAACGCCTGAAGGACACAGCTGCTGTGCTGGATGTACCTCTGCGAGCTCGGAGTGAAGATGTCGCTCAGCAGGCGGGGGATGATGGCGGTGGCCCCCAACGCATCGTTGGCCCCCATGTTGCAGAAGAGCAGGAACATGGGCTGATGGAGACCCCTCTGCAGGGTGATCAGGACCACCAGGCTGATGTTGGACAGCATGATGAAGATGTAGATGAGGAGGAGGAGGACAAAGGCAGGGATGGAGGACTGAGGGGTGACCTTCAACCCCTCCAGGAGCAGGATGTCAGAACCTGAAGTCTGGTTTTCCATACAGCGTTGATGAGGTCTGCAGAGCGACAGATCAAACTATGAGCGACCGATTTAACTGAAAAGAAAACTTTTCAATAAGTTCAAGGAAACGTGCATTTTATAAAACAAACGAGTCTAAATTAAACATCTTGGACAAAAACATGGAAAACCTTTGGATTGAGACGGAATAAAACCTGAATCCAGAAGTGACACCGAGAAACAAACACATAAATAATGTTATTTATTTATGCTAACAGATGTGCTGTCACACTTCACATTAAGTCTTACTTCATTGGAAGACATATTTTTAACTATCCTGCAGCAGGAGAAGCCTTGAAGTCTTCCAGGTGATGCGTCTCAAAGAAGTTATTTTATAATTCTCTGCCTGGCCCTTCGATTGATTTAAATATCTTGATCTGTTGCTCTGGAAACAAATGTCGCCACTCCTGATTGAAAATGTCTGAAGAGTCAAACCCAGGAATCAACAGAGTGAGCGCTGAGTCAGCAACGTTCTGCCTCCAGGAGCACGACAGAACAACCATCATGATGGGATCAGGGTGGTTTCCTCCTCTCCGATCCTTGGCTCTACTCTTCATCACTCACTTATCCTCAGTCACGTGACCACGCCCACTCTCACCTGCTCCTGCTCGGCCTTTAGCTCAGGTGTCTCCACTACGCCATCAGCCCGGCTCATGTTGGTTTTTGTGTCACATGTTCTCCTCGACTGAAGCCCCATTTACACAAAGTGAAACATTTGTTCATTTACAGACAACATCCTCGTCCTCTCTGAAGTGAAGGTTTCTGAGTCCAGGTCTCAGACTGGAGGTTTTCAGGGGAACCCCCCACGGAGGAGTGAGATGCTCCAAGTTTGAAGTCTCACATGCTCACTCCAGGCAGCTGCACACCAAAGTTTTTCTGCTCTAACAAAAGTTATAATAAATAACAACAGTTATCATAAATAACAACAGTTATAATAAATATAACAACAGTTATAATAAATATAACAGCAGTTATAATAAATATAACAGCAGTTATAATAAATATAACAACAGTTATAATAAATATAACAACAGTTATAATAAATAACAAAAGTTATAAAAAATATACAGTATCAAAAGTTATAATAAATAACAACAGTTATCATAAATATACAGTAACAACAGTTATAATAAATAACAACAGTTATAATAAATATAATAACAGTTATAATAAATAACAAAAGTTATAAAAAATATACAGTATCAACAGTTATAATAAATAACAACAGTTATCATAAATATACAGTAACAACAGTTATAATAAATAACAACAGTTATAATAAATAACAACAGTTATAATAAATATAACAACAGTTATAATAAATAACAATAGTTATAATAAATAACAACAGTTATAATAAATATACAGTAACAACAGTTATAATAAATAACAACAGTTATAATAAATAACAACAGTTATAATAAATATAACAACAGTTATAACAAATAACAAAAGTTATAAAAAATATACAGTATCAACAGTTATAATAAATAACAACAGTTATCATAAATATACAGTAACAGTTATAATAAATAACAATAGTTATAATAAATAACAACAGTTATAATAAATATAACAACAGTTATATGAAATAACAAATGTTATCATAAATATAGCAATAGTTATAATAAATGTAACAACAGTTATAATTAATAACAATAAGTATAATAAATAACAACAGTTGTAAAAAAAAACAACAGTTAAAATAAATAACAATAGTTATAATAAATAACAGCAATTATTATAAATATAACATCAGTTATAATAAATAACAATAGTTATAATAAATAACAACAGTTATAATAAATAACAACAGTTATCATAAATATAACAACAGTTATAAAAAAATAACAACAGTTATAATAAATAACAACAGTTGTAAAAAATATAACAACAGTTATAATAAATAACAATAGTTATAATAAATAACAACAGTTATAATAAATAACAACAGTTATAATAAATAACAGCAGTTATAATAACTATAACAACAGTTATAATAAATATAACAACAGGTATAATAGATAATAACAGTTATAATAAATAACAATAGTTATAATAAATAACAATAGTTATAATAACTATAACAACAGTTATAATAAATATAACAACAGGTATATTAGATAACAACAGTTATAATAAATAACAATAGTTATAATAAATATAACAATGATTACAATAAATATAACAACAGTTA